CCTGACGAGGAGCTGGAAATGCACGGCTTGCTCGGGATAGCTGACGTTCCAGGAGAGCTCAAGCAGCCCCTGGGGATCGAGAGGCACCTTGTAGGGAAAATCACTCCCGTGGGGTGCCGAGCCCTGCAGGGCCACCACCAAGATGACCAGGAACACCGCGATCATGGTGAAGTACATGGATGCCACTTCCCGCAGCTTGAAGCTGGGGCAGGGGCAGGGCTTGCTCCCGGAGGTCTGCATGCTGGGCAGGACGGCACCCACGCGCCTGGGTTTGCCCATTTATGCGTTGGCCCTCCTGGGCAAGCCGGATAAGTGATAGTCTTTAATTGCATTTGGTTGTTGGGAAATCGGTTTGTTGTATTGACCCTCCCCCACCTTCTGGCCAAACACTTGTCATTCACTGCCTCCCTTTAATTGGCTCTAATTGCACATGGACATTATCAATAGCAATTGAATTCGACTGGGCTGATGTTATTCACTCTTAAATCTTCCTTAGTGGCTGGGAAGAGCTGTTTACTCACAAGCTGCTCTTGCTGAGCCCTGCGTGGACGCGCTGCCCTGCTTGCGGTGCCTCTCGCCCAGCTCTGCAGCCGGCCCTGCCCATGCTTTGTGGGGTGAAAGCTCTGGGATAACCCCAAGAGTAATCCCAGCCACAATTTCCCATGGCCCCCAGCCTGGGACCACTTATCACCCAAAAGGTAGCCAGACTGGAGGGGATCAAAGCCCAGAGTCAGCTGCCAGACAGACGCAGAGTCCTGGTCCCACTCCCTGCCCGTGCTCAGCTGGGTATAGGTTAGGGTATCGCTGTGTGCACCCTTGTTTTCCTTTTGCTCCTCTGACCTCCACACAGGGCGGTGTCTTGCAGATAAGCTGGCCCAAGCACACCCAGGAGACCCCTCAGCTCCCCCAACCCCATTGGAGTGTGGTGCTCAGGCTGTGCCGAGGTCGGGGCTGCACTGCGGGGACCCATCCAGCTGCACATTCCCTCCCAGGGCCCCCACCAATGGCACAAAACCTGTGGAGCTGTTGCTGTGTTTGTTTATTTTTGGAAGTTGGCCTCCATGGGGACATGTTTGCATGAGATGCTGCCGAAAGCTGAGCCAAGTCAAGCGACCTGGAGCCCCGCAGTCCTTTAGTTGTTGCTGGGTTTAAAATGAATCTCTCCGAGCCGACTGCCGTGACGTTTGCTGGAGCTCTCGTGGGTGTCAGAGCAGGCCCAGAGGGAAGGTCCCAGGAGAGGACAGGTCCTTTTTGGGTGGTGACAACAGTGACTTCTGCTCCAGCAAGCCAGTCCAATAGCTCAGCTGGAGACAGTGTGGGAGATGGCTGTTCTCCTCCCATCTCAGTCTCCATCCGTTTTTTAACCTGTTAATAATAGTTTTACACATAATCGTGATCACACCTCCAGGAAAATGCTGCAAGAGTTTATTTTAGCAGGGTAGAGCAGGCCTGGCAGTGCTGAACTGGGGTCCTGTCATCTCACAGGGTCTTTCCTGCACACCCCAAGTTGAAGACAGGCTCCCAGCAACTGGGGACAGAAAAGGTACAAACCAGAGCAGTGTCACCCCAGGTTGTTAATGCTTGAGAAATCAGGGAAGAAAAATAGAACGAATGGCACATTATTAGCAGCGTGCTGTACCATTCATCCGCGTGCCTCAGAGGACGTGGGGAGCACGAACCGACTCAGCCACAATGGCTGGAGGAGGCAGTTGATGGGGACTGCAGTAAGAAAGTGTACTTACTGCTGGGGAGTGCAAACTCCTCCTATCCTCCTCTAAAATACCCCCACAGGGATGTATTGCCTGTGGAGGGCACCTCAGGGACTCAATTTACTTTTCCAGATGGAAAATTACAGTTTTTTTGCCTTTGTGTGAACTACTTCTGGCCCTCCCAAACCCAGCACAGCATGCAAAGCCCAAACCTTCTCCCAACGTGGCTTGGCTCCCATCGAAGGTCATACCTTCCTTGACCTTTGGAGATGTTAAATATTTGTTATTTCTTTGCTTTTGTAGGAACTGAGACTTTGGCTCCAGTTTAGATACCTTTTATCTCTCCCCCTCACCTTTCTCATTTGTTTAAAGTCTGTTGTATTCTGTTTTGGTTATTAACTTTTCTACATTAATTGGAATTATAATGAACCACCTCAATCTCTTTGATACACACACACTGTCTTTTTTTAGTCTAGGAGTTTGCAGTCTTGTTTTATTAATGCCACCTCACGTTCCCAGTGATGGTCTCAGATGCCTTCTGTGTGGAATCCCCTCTGGTCCCCTCTGGGTCTTGAGTTTCACTCGTGGTCCTTGCAGCAATGTCACGGGGGTAGATCCACATTTCCCAGCCCTACGTAATGAGAGGAAATAGATGCAGCTCAGTGCCCGGGTATTTTAATGAATCATCAATGTGTGTGTCTCTACGTTGAATTTGATGAGGTTTTACTGTCCTAAGACACAGCCATTACTCAGGAACATGGCAATTGATCCAGAGCGTCTCTCCTTGTCGAGTGACCTGCTGGTTAGAGGTTCTGGTGTCTCATTCAGCTTTATCAGTCAAAAGTCCAAAGCAGAGAGAAAACCAGAGAGCTGAGCTCTCCCAGACGTGCGCATCCCTCGGCCCCATCCCATGCCCCAGGGGTAGGGTGACTCCAGTGCACAGCCCAGCCCCACACCAGCCTTCCCGCTGCTGCCGGTGTCAGCTTTAAAAAGCGTGTGTCCAGATAGCATAACGTGCAGGAACTCTTTAGAGATGCCTGGGAAGTCTTCCACCATGACAGCTCTTGGGGCCACACTCGCTGGAGGTGTGACCCGAATCCCTGTGGGGCCCTGGGCTCCCTGCCTGAGGAGCTGGATCTGCACCTCAACCCATCCGTGGGGTAGGCAGCATCCCCTCCCCTCTGCCTGAGGCTCCTGGGCTCATTCTGGAGTGCACCTTGCTCTGAGATCCTGGTCTGAAAGCCTCAGATGGATGTCCCTCATCCTCCAGCCCTGGCTGCTCAGGTAGGTGTCTGGCTGCGTTACAAAAGCCCCCGAGAACAGATTTTCACCTTGCCCCGTTTCTGACCTCCTCCAAACAGATTCACCCACTTCTCCTCTCTTGGCTTTGTTTCCTCATTGTAAAGGGAAAGAAGCTGAGCTGTCAGCATGGCAGGAAGGCAAATGATCCTCACCAGGGGGCTGGAGGGGGTCCTTAGCTAACAAGTTCTGCCTCTGTCTATTAGAGATGAAACCCCAGGCTGCTGGCATGTGCAAGTAGAGATCCTGAGCTTTCCTGTACAGAAGGATTTTGCAGTGGAATAGCATAACACGGGCAGGTCAGCTTGAAAACAGCTGAACTTTGCAGATAAGCAGTGAGAATTTATTTAAAGAGAAAAAAATTATGTATATCTCTCTCTCCCCTCTTCAGTTTCTCCACAGTCGTTGCTCATAAATCCAGGCGAGGAGCGAGGCTCCAGCTTTCCACTCATTGCTCCGGGTGTTTATTTTAAGACTTCAATGAGATATAGAAATGCCAGTTTCCTGACGCCGAAACTCTGACCGCTCGGGGCTGACGCAGAGTGGCTTCCCGTGGGTTGGCTGCCGGGAGGAGCACCGGGAGGGCCGTGGGATGGGAGCCGTGGGTTCAGCCCCTTTCCTTGAAGGCAGAGCAGCAGCAGCAGCCGCTTTCTGCCCACCTGCGAGCTCTTGCCGGAGCTAATGCCGGCAGGATTGCGCTGGGACCAGCCCGGGAGCATCCTGTGCTGCAGATGAGACTCGGGTCTCCCTGTACACCCCCTGCCCCACTCCAAACCCCTGGACAGAAACGAGCTAAGGGTGCAGCAGTGCACAGGGAATACCTGGAGCATGCTGTAAGCCCTGGAGAAGGGCTATTTTTAATGGACAGTTCTCAGCTGAGTCTCCCAGGCCCCAGCTCAGCTGTGCTGGATGCTGTGAGAACCCCAGCAACAGCATTAATCCCCCACTGGGTCTTGTTGGCCCCATCCTCTGCAGAGCTGCAAGTCCAAACCCTCCTGGGGACACACTAAAACTACCATGTCTTTCATTGCCACTAACAACCCTGGATGCAAAGCCAGCCTTAAAGGGAGGTAAGCTGCTGTTTCCAGAGCCCTGAAAGCAGAAGTGCCTGAGGAGCTCGGGAAGCAGCTGCCTCCATCGGCAGGAGGCGAGGGCTGCCTGCCTGGAACAAAGACTGACTTACAGGTAAGTAGGTTTAAACACAATTGATGCACCAAATTGGGGATTGAAGCAGGCAGCACCCCTCCGAGCTATAATCCATTGCCTCGCTAACATAAATGGAAATTCAATTTAGGCGATGCCAGGGAGGGAAGGGAAGCTCGCTGTCTGCTCCTGAGCGGTTGGTGCAGCTCTCCATGCCTCAGGGGTTCTGCTCTTCACAGCCCCCATCCACAGCCAGCCAGCACCAGGATCGAATTTGCCTCGGCGCTGATGAGGTTAGGCAGTGTCTGACTCAGGCTGGACCCGATGAGGTATGAGAAGGGGGAAGAGAGGGCTGGCACGTAGGGGAGATGCTCACGTGCATGGCCCCAGGGACCCCCTGCCCTGATTGATGATGTGTACAGTTTCTCTGGCCAGATCCACCTCTCACCCTTCATACCAGAGCCACAGAGTCTGGACCAGCCTCGTGGCTTGCAGGTACTATTCGATATACATCCTGGTGTTGGGAGAATTGTTTGTGCTTTTAAAAGGCTCACTTTGCTCAGGGCTGTTCCCATAACAAATCAGAAGGGATCTGCAGGCTGCTCGTTGGCTTTGCTGTGCACCAAGAGGGTGCTGGGGCTGCAAATCTGAGTTTGCATTTGCCCAGTGGAGGTACAGGGGGTATTTAATGTCTTTATGTCACCTGGGCCTTGCTGGGTGAACAGTGCGAAGGATTCGGGGTGGTTGTCTCTGAGCTGCACTGTTTTGCATGGGACTTCGTGGGAATCTCCACATGTGGCTGCAGCAGTTGCTATTTAACCCACAGGCGTGCTGGGTGCCATCCGACTCGGGACACTCAGAGGAGACCGTGACCCAGCGGTGGGTGGGAAGAGCCATTCCCTCCCCCACGCACATGAGTTTGTGCCTTACAGCACGAGAGCAACAAATGCTGTAACATCCCCCTTGCTAAGCTTCTGGTAAGTTCAACTTCTTGTGTTCTCCTAACCTGTTTCTCTTTTCTGCCTTCCTCAGGACCAAATTTTCTCTCTCTTATACCAAGTAATGCCCCACGCCTCATCCCCCGTGAGGTCCGCATCCGAAGGGGACCCAGCCCCAGCCGTGCAGTCGGCCCTCCCCATTGCTGCTGGAGGGGGTCTCCCCAAATCAGAGGCAGAATTGGACCTCAGCTGCTCGTTATGGCTCGGTCCTGCTGCTCCTGCTCTGGCAGCAGAGGTGAGGACTGCCATGCACAGGGGAGGCTGAGCATCTCCCACCTCTTCTGCCTCTCCTCCTGGCCCAGCCAGACCCGTGGCTCTTCTGCAGAGTGAAAGGCGGGTGGATGGGCTGTGCCTAGCACCGTGCCATGGTGAGCTGGTGATGGGAGAGCAGGAGAAAGGCCAAAGTTAGTGGAAGGAGAGCATCATTTGCTCTTCGGGAGATGTTGCCTTACCAGGAACTTGAGGGTGTGGGGGGGCAGCCAGGTCCCTTCCCACCCTTCCCACAGCTCAGCAGCCCCGAGAAATTCCCTCCCCAGTGCTGCTGTAGCTGAGCCACCTAATGAAACGTAGTCGCCTGTGCATGCTATATTAAGGTTACCATGGATATGGTGCCACAAACACTGGGCTGTGGCTTTGTTATATAAACAGGAGAGATTGCCACAAATACCCAAAATATCTGAAAAAGACAGGAAGAGACAGAAGCATTCTCTAGGTTTGTTTATAAAGGGTTGTGCGATCCAGTGGATAGTGCCAGTGGGAGGTGGGGGAGATTTGTGTTAGCTTTGAGAAGTGGAGCATAACTGAGCGGTGGTCTCGGACTCAATAACTCTGGAGACTCCCTCCGATCTTCAACAGGATCTTTCTGAAAAGATCACAGAAGTGCTGCTAGCCAGGCTGCTCACTGACCCTGCTTCTGCCCGAGAGCTGGGCACCCTGCAGATCATCGTGGGAAGTGCACTGTTCTTCATGCTTAAGTTCATCCTAGCTGAGCTTCACGCAGATCTTAGCCCTACTTGATTTCTGCCATATGCAAGGAGATCCTGCTGCCTGCTGCTGGTGGGGACTGGGACCGGTGCTGGTGGTGGAGATGTGCAGTCATCAGCTGTCCCAGAACTGCCCACACCTGACTCTGCTCAGCAAGACCATCCAACTAATCTTGTACCATCTCAGGTACAGAAAGTCCCTTGTACTATTTGAGGAATCATGTAATTTAAAGAAAAAAAAAATGCTCTAGAAATGGAGGTGGGATGTAAGGGAGATGGAGACATCAGAGTGGCTAAAATTGTATTGCACTCCCACTCCCCTGCCAATAAAAACACCATAAATAAAGTGGCTTTGCAATAACCATCTCCACGCATTGTAACACAGCTTCACGTGTCCCTGCAAAAGATGATCCAAGCAGGATAAACTCTGCTTTAGCCTTGTTCTGCAAGAAAGGCATGACAAGCTTGCTCCAGCCCTATCATGGCAATGTCTCTTCTCTTCGCAGCAGGTGCTACCCCCGGCTCCCAGTCTCCATCAGTGGCTTCCTCTCCTCCTCCTCCCAGCCCAGACGTTCTCAGCCCACGGCTGTTTCAGATCTCTCCTGGCCTTCCAGATGCCTTTCAGCATGGGACAACCATCCATCCACTTGTTTTCTCTCCTATTTCTCTCCCTGTGAGTCCAAGCAGACATCTTTCCATGCTTCATTACCTGACGTGGTGGACAATACCAAACTCAGTAAGGAAAGATCTGCTTTATCATTTATAAACACACCAAATCCCATTTTTGCTCTTCAAATGTAAACCACCCTGCACTGTCCTCCTGCATTACCTGCCATCCCTGATTTTGCAGGACCCATCTTAATTTTCGTGAAGTGACCTCTCACCTCTCCGGAGCAGTGGGGAACGGTTCTTCTTCAATTTGGTAAGAAACAACAGCAAAAGGAGCTGGAATCTGCTGTGGGCATGGGTCCAGAGGAAAGGCTGTGTGCCATGGGGGTTTTCAGGGGGGTGGGTTGGTGCTGAGCCCTTCTGTGTAGGGCTCTGCTCTTTGATGCCAGCCTTTCTTGTTGCTTTTTCTCTAGCCCTTGCTTTCTGGCACTAAGCTGCTTCCTGAAGATTACACAGCAAGCCAGGATCAGAATCCAGAGGAGCTGATCCAGGAGAGGACATGGGGCCAAAAGACCCTGAGGAGTCTGAAGATGCAGCTTTATCAGCTTAGCAAAATTGTTGGTGCCTTGAATGACAAAGGCTGCAGGCCCTACATGCCTGAGGTTTGTAAGACAAGTTAGCAGAAGTTCTAATAAAGGGTGAAAATAGTGGATAAATGTGATTTCCCTCAGAAAACCTGACTTCTGTACAGAGAGTGCTTGCCCTGCAAACCTCTTGACAACCTTGAAAGAGTTAATAAGCTTGAAGGGGAAGGTGTTTCCAGGAGATATCATCTCTGCCTTTCCAAGGCTGTGACAGAAGGCTCTGCACTTTTCCCGCCATGACCCAAATGCCGATGGAAGGATTGCCCCCCCCTGCCCCTCCCATGCTCTTTCAGGCCAGCAGCCCCCCAGTATTCACATCTCTAGAGTGAGGTCTGCCCTGTGTAAAGAGGCATGAGGGAATCCATGGTGAGCATCCTTAAGCTGCCCCCCTGCCTCTCTAAGCCCTTCATTTCATTGGCACTTCCACCCGAAGCAGCAGCCGCCCAGGATCACGTTCCAGCCAGCCTGGTACTTCACGTCGGGGGCAGAGGCACGAGCTGACGGGTGCGATGAGACGTGATGTGCCAGGCAAGGCTACGACGGAGCCTCCTTCGAGCACACATTCCCTCAGAACACCTCAGACCCACTTTTCTCTGGCTGAGGCTGATGTTACCCTGCGAGCCTTGGTGTTCGGTCCCCGATCACGGGCCAGGGATGTTTCACACATCAGGCGTGGAGCACGCTGACTTGTGTCACTGCGTAATTCATCTGTTCAAGTTAAAAACACTTAATTTAAAAAGCAGTTTCTCTCTCTTGTTGCTTTGTTAACTCTTTAAAGCAGCTGCATCCTTTGGCACTCTGAGATTGACACCTTCAAGAACAGAAACATCTCAGAGCAACTCGTGGCAGGCCTGGCCCCGGGACATCTTTGGCTCCATACCTGCCTGAGTTGGTGAAGAGAGCCACAGCAATGCCACTGCGATCCACGGGAGCAGGAGGTGCAAGATGGACACCACACCAGGTCCTGGTTATGGGCGGTTGTCAGAGCTGTGTTTATAAGCCAGGTGGTTCCTACATCATGGGTGATTAAAGCAGGAGGAAGAAAGGCTGCTATGGAAGACCACCAACCTGGGGATCAGGCTGCTGTTCTCACCTAAACAAAAAATTTGCATTTAAATCCAGTGAAGGTGACTGAGGTGCTGTGAGCGTGTACTCACGTCCAAGTTGCGAGGTGGATGATGCAGTGGAGACCTTTCAGGGTGCCATCATGAATATTTGGGGTCAGTTTGGAGACTGTCCAAGAGAAGGCACCTCTGTGATTATGGGGAGAAGGCAGAGCAAAGTGCCCGGCACTTCCACCAGGACCAGAGAGCAGCTGTCACTAGAAAGAGGTAAAGCCTCCTCCTGTAAAGCTGCACACACGGGGTCCTATTTACTGCTGAGGAGCTTAGAGCAAAAACAAATGCCAAGGAACAGCAAAGGAAAAGGCCCTGCTCTTCGGAATGGAAAAAGACAGTATTTGGCAGGTGATGAGAAGGTCGTGTTGTCACTGTACCTGGCTGCTGCAGCCAAACCCGCTCCCAGGGTCTGCGATAGGCAGAAGTTGCGTGGTGTGTGCCTGCAAAACACGTGGGGGTGGTTTATTAGTGCCCTAACTCTGTGTTTCGCTGTTGGAGCAAAGCACTGGCAGAAGCAATGTGATCCTTTAGTGATATTGAGTGCCCTCTGCTACCCTATTTCAGGTGGTTTTGTTTGGGTTTTTTTTTTCTTGCATCTCTGAGAGACCATGATCTTGATTTTTGTTGTGTCCTCCAAACTGCAGATGCCAAAAGAGGCTCGAATCTAGAAAGAGCACCACTATCCCCCAGGCTGACGGAGCACTGGGAATACATACAGAAAGCCAGGCAGTGGTTCAGCAGCCCATTGCTCGCAGCAATAGCCAGGTTTGGTTGTGGTTTGTGGTCATGTATCCCCTAGGTGAAGGGGGATCTCGGATGGAAGATGTCTCCAGGGTCATGCCAGCCAAATGTGAACCTGCCCTCCCCTGACGGCAGCATTAGGAGTTGTTCCCTGGGGATGGAGCGAGCTGGAGGTGAGGAAAAAAGACCTGAAGTGACCTTGGATGATGAACGATGGGAAGACCATACGATATTCCTGAGTCAAGTGTGAGGAAACCAAGAATTTTTGGGTGCAGGAGTTTGACTACATGAACTTGTCAAAGGATTTACACTGAGAATAACCCACTGGTTGCAGCAGGGGAAAGCAGGTGATTATAACCCGAACACTGTACTTAAAACCTACAAATGATTTGGCTCCTGGATGCTGCTGGTCTGTTTATCCCACAGACTTGGCAGGCACAGAACACTTCCCAAATGACAAGGAGGGTTGATAAAAGTTGTGGCTGGTCAGCTGCCAGCTCTCGAGGCTATGGACTGGCTCCCAAACTGCAGATACTAATTAGCAGTTTTCTTCTGTCAAAAATTGTGTTGCAAAGTCTGGGGAATCACGGCTCTTTGTTCTCTGTGTTTGTACAGCCCCTAGCACGATGAGACCATGCTCACAAGGGAGGTCTTGCACACCTCTGCAATATAGAAATGTATTATAAAAACCTTTGTCTCCTTCATAGGTAACTGATCTTCACAGAATTGCTCCGAGAGTAAGTGGACCTCATGCTAGTCCAGAAAACAAGTTCTAAACTTGCTCAGGGCAGCGCAAATATTTTCTAAGTCCTTGTTATAACATTGTTTTTCCTTGCTTCTGTCCTGGGCTGATTAGTGGAAAATTGCTTTGACATATTCACTGGGAAGCAGGGAGGCTGTTTATTGCAGTATGGGAGTCCAGGCATAGAAACAAAAATGAATGGCCCAAGCAAAGAACCTTCATCGTTCATATTTCTGAACAAAGATAAAATGATAAATTGCTAGACAATGACATTTGACCCATAAAAGTAATAAAAAGCTAAAATTGTTGGTTTTTTTTTTTTTTTTCCTGGCATAGCTTTTCAATATCTTTTGCACATAGTCCAAGCAACCTTGAAGCAAAACTGAACAGGAGCCATGACAGAGGCAGTTCAGTTCTGACTGATAGGGTCTATAATAATTAAACAATAATAGTCTTAAGTAGACTCTCTGAAGATAAACTCTATTTTGTCCCCTTGCTTTCATTTCTTGTCATTAGACTGAGTGGCTTGCCTTTCAGATCTCTGCACAGGCGTTTGAACTGCATGCAAAGTGTGCTGAAATTACTGGCAGTAATTAGTTTATTTAGGGAGCAATTAATTAAATGCAACTGTTTCCCTCTCTATAGATTAAAAGAGTGCTATAAGCGATACCATCTTTAAAAGAGCAGATGTGCTATAAAAGGACCAGAGAGTAATTATTCTCATCAGTCAACAAAGACAGAACAAGTATTGATGGGCTAAAACTGCCGAAGAGAAAAATTAAGTTAGCTCTTAGGAACAACTTTGGGACTGCAAACGCGAGGCACATCAGGGCAATGAACGCTGCGGGACAAAAGGCACGGGTCCCGACAGACGGAGGCACTCCAGGCTGAACACGCTCGGCTTCCCGGCATCATCGCCGGGAGGCTGGGAGAGGCAGTGGCCTGCAGAAGGGTCCCGGCTACCCGGGGAGTTTGACAGCTTGCAGACAACGTGGCTGCAATCGAGCTGGGCTGGCTGGGCCTCCCGAGACCCCCCGAGCATCCTCCGTGCCCGGGGGGGTGGGGGGGCGAAGGTGTTGAGAGCCCGGGGGGGGGACGAGCGGCTGCGAGCCCCGGGGGTACAGCTTTTGCTTCCCTGTCACCCCAGCTCGGGGATGGAGGGGACAACCTGCACGCGTGGTTGTGACAGTCCTTTCCGTGCCGGTGCTTCTGCAGGTTGCCCACCTGCTAGAGGGGTAACGGTAACGCAAATCAGCCGGGTTTTGCCCCAATTTCTACTATTACCAAACTCTGCTATTTTTCAGCTCTGGGACATGAGGACCAACCCGAGCCTGAGGAATCCTTGTGAGTCGCCACTGCCGGTGCCAAATGTGCCCTGTACAGCGCCGGCCTCTTCGGAAAAAGCTGTGGACGGGGATTTCTAAAGCAGCTGAGGTTGTGGTGGAGCGGGCACGGGTTTGGGAAGAGGAGCCACGCTCCCCTCCCCAGGGGTGGCTGTCACCGAAACCAGACGGCGAAAACCCTCAGCGCGGCTCCCGAGAAACGGTGCACGGCACAAAGTCACCTCACGTGTAAAATGCCCGGGGACCCTCGTGGGGCTAAAGGGGAGACGCTGTGGGGTTTGCCTTGATTTTTTTCCCCTTTATCCCTGTGGGAGTGGGGAGAGATGGAGGTGGGGGAATGCTTTCCCTGCGCCAGCGCTGGGGATGAAAGCTTCCTTGGCCACAGTGGCGTGTCCCCCGGCTTCGTGGGGTGGGGGGGGGGGTGTCCCGGCTCCGCGGGGGGGGGGGGTGCCCCGTCTCCGTGTGGGGGGGGGTGCCCCGTCTCCGTGGGGCCGGCCCCGAGCGCCAGGACAGGCGCGCATCCCGGAGGCTGATTGATGTCGGGGCGGATGGGGGGGTGGGAGGGGTGGGGGGGTGATGGGGGGGGGCGGGGGAGGATGTGATGGTGCGGGGAGGGGGGGGGGGGGGGGGGGGGGCCCGGCAGCACGCGCCGCTGCCCGTGCGGCCCCGGTGCGGGACTCGGGGGGGGGCCGCTCCGCTCCGCGCCGCCGTCATTGGCGGCACCGGCGGCGCTGGGGCGCGGGGCGGGGAGGGAGCGCTCCCCCGCAGAGCCGCTGTGCCGGGCCCGGCCATGTGCCGAGAGGGTGTCTGCTGCCGGCTCGCCTGCTCGGCACCGTGAGCTGGTTTCCGCCTTTTATATATATATATATATATTTTTTTTTTTTTTTTTAAATAAATTCCTTATTTTTTGCCTTGATGCTCTCCGAGCTGGAGACTTCGGGAGACGCGGTCTTCACCTGAGAGATCCAGCCCAATTCCCCCGTTTGAAGGTAAGCGGGGAGGGCAGCGCGGCGGAGCGGGGAGAGGGCACCGGCGCGGAGGCTCCGGACCGCCCCCCCCCCCCCCCCCAACCTCCCTCCCCGGCTTTCCCTGGGCTCCTTCTCCCCATCCTTCGCATCGCTGGGGGCTTCTGCGGTGCTTTCCCCGTGTTTACCTCTCTCTCCCTCCTCCCGGTGCATCCTAAACTGCGGTGGGATTGCTGCTCCGGGGGAGCGGGCAGCTAACCCCCGCGTCCCGGGGGAATGCCTGCAAGGAGAAAAGCGGGCAGAAGGTAGCCCCGGCTGTGAGAGTTGGGGCTGGGAAGGGATTTGGAAGGGGGGGGGGGGGGGGGGGAGGGACACGGCAAAGCAAATAAGGACATGGAGAATTGAACAGCATCTGGTCCCCGATAGACTGTCTCAGGGGGGCTGGTCAAGTCCCATCAGCTTAGACCGGGATGAAAAAGACTGGGGTGCTCCAGGCTTGGTTTTCCTTGGTCCTACAGCATCTTTAGTTTCAAAGGCATGTCTGTGAAGGAGGTCATGAAAGCATCTCTCAGGGATGGGGTGGAAAAGCTGCCCCCATCCCGTGCCCTGCCAGGGTGTGTGGGTCATGTCCTCTGCCCCTGGGGACAGCTTGTCCTCCTCTGCACGCTCAGCGTGGGGCTGAAACCGGCTTTTCTCGGTCGCCTGTCTGGACAACTCACCTGGAGCCGTGTGCCTAGGTCAAAGGTTTGTTCCTATCTCATGTCCTGGCCCCAAAGGATGTAGGAACCTCCCAGCTCCATCCAAGTGATTTTATAGAGACCACCCCAGCCCCAGGTTAGGCAGCAAACCAGCCCGCTAGCTCGCACGCAAGGAACCGATGGTGATGGAGAGTAATCCAGAGTTGAACGCAAGGAAGGCGATAGCACAATTATCTGTGGGTTGGTTTTGCCATTATTTAGTTAACACAGCAGCCGTCTAGGTCTGCGCTCTCAGAAGCACATGGACGTTGTTCAGTACGTTAAAGGTAGTCTGCAGGCTCAGGGGGCTGTGGGAGGGAGAGAGAAATTCCCCAAGGGAAGATGGCTTTTCACTTCCCCATATCGACTGGTTTCAGACAGGATTATTTATATTTGACATAACAGATCACCAAACTTGGAAGGTAGTGGGGGTGTGCTCATATTCATTAAGATAGACAGTTTTCTGACAGAATAAATTAAAGGTAAGAGAAGATTGCACTTTGAGGTTCAACAGATTGTCTTCTAACCTAAAACGAGCAGTGAAATCAGCATAAAACCTAGATGGTAAAGTCATGCACTTCATTCTTTCGTGATGGATGCCTGTCATTTTAGGAAACCTAGCGAATATCCCAATGTTTAGAGTGCAAGGCAGTGCTCCTGGATGACCTCGTTTGATCAAAAGTACCCAGAATGATGGGGTTTTTTAGTCATTGTATCATGTCTTCACTGAGTAAGCATCTAAATTATAATGCTGTTAAGGGAAAATACTTTACCTAAACTGTGCATGAACTAAGTGCCTGAACTATCTGCACACCTGTATTTTAGGCACTTGCCCCGTTGCGATGGCGTATGAATAATGGAAGGTTGTTTGCAACCTTTTATGGTTGGTTTTCATCTAGTCTGAAATGAGCAGAAAGATGCATTACAGCTGTCACTTGGTGAAAAGAGATTTCAAACACCCTAAAGACCGTGCAGCTGTAATTAGAAGTGTAACCTCCTTCCTCTGCATGTCAGGATTTCTGTGCAGAAGGATGACAGGACCTCTTAAGGAACGGTGCTGGTGCTGAGTATCTATAAAGAACTTGCACAAAATCCCCCGCAAAGTGACTGATGTTGATTTATCACCCCTCAGTACATTGGTTCTCACTTATGAAAGATGTGGGGATGTGAGGGGAAAGGAAGGAAACAGCATTTGTTCCTTTCTGCTTTCTTATCAGTGAACACAGATTACAAATAGAGGCAGTTCTTAAATACCTGAGCCTGCCCGAGCACAAAAGAGTTGCAGAACGTTACCAGCACCGTTGTTACTGGCTGTATCCCTGCCGTGTTTCTCATTGCTTTCCAGCAAAGAAAGTCTAGCTGTCACATCTCCTCCTGATCCTTTTCCATTGCAACCACGGCAGTCCTCAAACCCTCATGTAGGTGACACGAGAGTCAAGCCTGAAGGTTTGATCTCACAGGCTTTGCAATCTAAGGAGAACCTCCTCAGAAGTGGCTGACAGAGGACTTGCTCGCTGTCAGTCGCATATTGACCCAAGACTTTCTAAAGGTATTCCCATATCTAAAGCTAAAGAATATCTGCTGACCCTACAGCCGTACCTGAGCACACCCCTTAGGATCCCTTAAAAGTTTTGCTGGGCACCAGATTCAAAGAGATAAAGGTGCTCATTCCCTCAGGCATTCATGTGCACGCCAGAATGCTTAGCTGCATCCTCGCAGGCTGAAGAAGTCTGTGTCACAGACCTCTGGGCACGTCAGAATATGCCTTCAGTGCCCAGTACGTGGGTCAGTGAGGGGGTTTTGCAGCTGGCCAAGATGTATTTATGTAACTCGGAGCTTTTCATCTGGCTGCACAGTGCGTAGCTGTATTAGTGCTGGTGTAAGAAATGGGGGGTAACTTGGTACCTCCTCACTCGTTGTGTTCTGGTACCTGGCTGTCGTGTTGTCATGGATATGGATAAGGACATGGCCAGTGGAGAGGTGCTTGTTGCTGGCAGGGCTCCTGCAGCCACTCTTGTGATGCAACTTATAACACTGAAGAAGAGCAGGGAAGGGATCAAGGGGAGGTAGCAGGTGTTGGGGTTGGACTTGCAACTCGTTCCCATCCTAATTTACACTTCTTCCTGCATCGTTGTCTGTTATCTCCTTCTCTCCTCATGATCTAATTTATTACGGTAGGCAGGATCGTTTCACCCTTTGCCTGAGAAAAAAAGCGTATATACCAGCACCACAGATTGTCAGAGGGATGATAAATAGGTTGGGAGATGGACTCTGACCCTCTTCAGATCTCTCGGCCACATTCAGATCACAGCTGAGGCCAAGCTGGACAAGATTGGGACCTCAGGAACCTGTGAGCCCTGCAATCCCCATGAGCACAGCCCTGTGCAGAGGTCAGCTGGAAAGGTTAGGGAACAAAATTGAAAGTCATAATAACATTTTTAAACATGCTTGGACCCATTTCTCCCTGGAAAGCTTAATAGCAGCCATGACCCTTTAATAGCAGTTCAGGGCACCAGAGGGAGGACCTGGCTCCCGTGGACTGTGAGGCTCTCAAGGTGCCTGTGTCAGGGGCAGCATGGAGAGGGGACAGGAGCGGAGATGATTTAGCCCAAAATCACAACACCAATGATTTTACCCCATCCTATGTGGCCAAGAGTACAGATTTCTTACTGGTGTCGGTAGGGCAGCAGTGTAAGCCACAGCCTGGGACACTGCTGGGTGCTGGCATCTCCCCCTGCGTGCGCCGGTGCTCCCCGTGGCAGGCCATGGAGTGGAGACAAGAGATGAGTCAGGGCCTGGGGGAGTTTTGTTTACCCTCTCACTTCACACAGAGTTTTATCTTGCTCATTGAGACCCAAGTGATGGGTCAGAACTGGTGTTCAGCATCATTCAGAATAATGGCACAGGACGGGCCGAGACATCTTCCCCAAGTTTGCCTGGCCACGAGGGCAGCTCAGCCCTTGCTGCCTCCAGTGATTCTCTCCCCATCTCTTATCTCCAGGACAAAAGCCACCCGCAGCGACACGCCACCCAGCATGGCAGTTTGTGAGCTTGCCAAGCTTTGCTTGACAGTAACCCTAATTTTCTCCCCAGCTGGAAAGCGCCTGCTGCTTGTACCTGCCCATGAGCTACGGGGAGGGATGCGGCTCCTGCGCGGGGCTGAGTTGAAGGTGCTCGTGGCTCTGCCGCCCTGGGAAACGCCTCTCTGTTCCATAGCTTTTATCAAAGAGATGGAAACTTGTCACATTCTCTCTGCAACAATATCTGACATTACCCAAGCAATTTGCCCTTGGTGTGTTTCCAGAAATAGTTAGGCCTACAGTAGACACGGGTGACATCTGGATGCATTACTGTTGAGTTCAGAAACATTCAGTAAGCAAGACAGGCCCTATTGTTTAAAGGTTATTTCAAAAGACTCCTAGTGAGTTATCTGGCCATGGAATGGGGAAAACCTTAGTGGCACTATGATAATTGCGTTTTTCTGAAGGACATTTTAGAGGAAAGTTACCAGAAACCCAAAAGCAAGTCTCAGCCCGTCCTCGCCAGGCCGGGAACCTGATCCAACCTGAAAAGGTGAGTTTTTCTCTTTACTTCAGTGCTGGTTGGATCAAGCCTGGGAAAAGTGCATCTGGCTGTGGGAAGAGCAGGCTGGGGGCACAGATGGGGGATGTAGGGGAGACCACCAGCAGTTCAGCCATAAAAAAAGTCTCAGATCAGCATAATAGGGCAGCAGGAGTCACATCAGCAGGGAGGGTGAGAGAAAGAGTCCTCCCTGAAGCTCTGAGAAGAAAATAAATGTCATTAGCAGTGGATAAAGCAGCTGCCTCTGAGCACCTGAGATGAGGGCGGGAGGCTCTGCAGGGAGAGGCGGGGCTGGCAAGGTCTGCCAGCACTGGGAGGGCTCAGCAAGGCTGCTGTGGGAGACACTCTGCAGCCCACATCTTTATTCATCATGTCCTTGTTCAGTTAATAGCCTCCTTATAAAAAAAGAAAAAGAAGGGCGAGTGAATTTTTGGCAGATGCGAAGTGCCAGCCAGCACCCCCTTCCCTCGCCCAGGTGACAAGGATGCTGCTCGCATGTGGCAGAAGGGAAGAGATGTGGCTTTGCTGTCACTCACACCAACCTTACATCTGCATGTGCTCCTGGCAGAAACCACTCCTGGCTTCTTACCTTGGCCCCAGGGCAAACAGAATTAGTTATCACCCTTTTAATTTCATGCCCCTTAGAGAGCTGTGGTGGGGATGGAATCACGTTGAGGTCTCCCACATCTTCCTTTTGGTTTTGCCACCGGTTTTCTCTGCGAGGGGAGGAAAGGAGGGGAGTGAGATCGTGCCCATGGAGTCCTGGAGCCGACCAGAGTGCTCTGCCCGCAGCAGCACCATCCCGTCCCGGGCGCTGGCTCCAGCCCTCCTCTGCCTTGTCTGGTGCTGCCGTGAGGCTGTGTCAGCGCTGCAGAGGAGCCCTGGCAGCGGATGCCGGCGGAGAGCTTTTCAGAGCTGTTCAGAGCTGTTCAGAGCCCACACACCCCAGCCTGCGCCTCCCTGTCTGCCTTCTCCCTTCTGTTCTTCTGCTGGTGCTCCAGCCCTGCCCTCCTGCGGGTCAGTCACTGAGATATCAATTATGAAAACTTCGGTGGTGAGATAACCATTGGAAGCTGCCAGCCTGAAAAAGAGGCTTGGGTGAAAAATCTGATAGGCTTTTTTCTTTAAATTGCCACTAAACTCCAGCTTAGGCTCTTCCAAGGCTGCACTGCTTGGCTTCTCTTGGGCAGGGGATAAAGGAGATGATCTTCTCGCCAGGCAGGGGACAAAGCACTGCCAGCTTTAGGTATGGCTTTGAGGCCACGCTATAGCTTTTCTCTAGGTACAAGTTCATCACAGGGTCTGAGCTGCAGAAGCTTATAAGCTCATTATATCGGGGGAATTGCAAGCAGTGGGCATGCCACACAGCTGGGGATTTCCTTCCTTTCTGCTGGAGGGGACTCTCAGCAAACTGGGAGGAAAAGTCCTTTGGGGTTTCATTTTTTTCCTGTGCAGAGCAGTCCCTTGTTCCTCGTCTGCCTGAAAATCTAGACTGGACCATAATGGACAAAACTGGACTCTTGTAGCACTGCCTGTTCCACTCGTACCTGCAGAGCTGGCATCAGTCAAAGCCAGGTTGTCTCTTTACTCACTGAGAGTTTCGGACTGTTTGAGGTTAAAGGGGAAAACACATCAGCATTAATGAAAGGAAACTGGCTGCCTGGGGGAAGATAAATACCCAGATTTCTGGGTGATGTGGCTGCTTTGAAACCCTCTGGGGACCGATGCAGCCTTGTGACAGATTCAGAAGTCATCATTTCCCCCAACCTCTCCCCAGCTTAGTTCACATCAACTGAAGCGGATGAAAACGTCTCGAGATTCAAAGACTCATAAACTGGCACCGATCGTAACAGAGAGACGTCCTGGACTTTGTTGTAAAAGATGATACACGGGCTCCATCAAAGCGGGTATTTGCTGTGATGATGCGGGAGCGTGCCGGGAGACAGAGGGAGTTCACAGGCAAGTGCCAGACGAGTCCTCAAAGCCTCTGCGTTGCTGAGTGCAAATCGCAGCTCTGCTAAAACATCCACTGACAGGCACCATTTCCTGTGAGAAAAATAACTTAACTGCAAATAGCTTTGCTCATTTTTATTCCCGATATCCCACCTTTGCTCCTCTGGGTTGTTTGTTTTTTTCCATCAGAAATAATACAGTATTTTCTGAGGTGACCGGCAGGGACAGTGCAATCCCAGTACAGAGCTCCTGTTCTGAAACCTGTGTTTGCTTCCCCATTTAAAGCAGAGGGTGCTGCTTGGGCTTTGTCGTGTGATTCACATCTGGATTCCCTTTGCTCTCAGTGTGGATTTGTTTTAAGCCCTGTTGTAGGTCTTCCTGCCTGAACTTTGGCAAACCGTTAACTCTCTTCTTTATCTGTTGCCTGCCTTTAGAGCTAGATTACAGCTTGTGCAGTACAAGGATGCTCTCCCTAACCGGTGTCTGCCTGCATTGCTCCTGCAGGCAGGGATGCTCCTTCTTCCTCCTCATTTCCCACTTTTATATCGGCAGAACAATAGCGTGCACGTTGTTGCTCTTTAGTTAACACGATATATGTGTTACATAGCGAGACGTGATGCCTTTTGTGGCAATCCAAGCTAAACTCCCCCACTGGGGAGAAAATATGATATTGGAGGTTGCCAGAGGCTCAGTTTTGAGCAAGTGCTGTGGTGTCCCAGCCGCAAGAGAGTGGCCTAGGAAATGCATGGTCGCGCTGTTGGGGATCTCTCCCTGTCTCCTCTGCAAGCCAGTGCAAGCAGGGATTCACAGGGATGCAATTTATAAGACTCTCATTGGAAGGAAAAGGAGGGGTCTCGGTTTGATTGGTGTCACCAGCTGGGTAGCTAAGACCTGGAAAGATTAGCAGTGGGATCGTGGGAGTGGAGTTTGGATAATAAGTGTTGATTTGGGTTTGCTGTTAGGCGACTTTTGTGTTTGTATTGTTATATTACACAGAGGAGGGGCTGGGGGAATAATTCAAAATTATGCCTGTCCCATGGGTTTCCTTTGAGATGTATTTCCCTGTGCAAACAGGGACAGGCAAAAAGCTGCGTGGGTCGGCTGCTGCCTCTGGCAGGGAGCAGGGCCAGCCCTCCCTTCCCCACCCAAATGCATTAAAGCACTGGAAAGGTGTTTCTCAAACCCCTCCAGGTGGCTTTTTCAATTCAGCTGTCACCAAAGCCATTTTCTTAATGATCGTGCTGGAGCTGGAGATGTACCCAGAGAAGGGCAGCCCTGCTCTGCAGCCCTGGGTGTTGGCATCGCTGCGGCTCAGGCAGATGTTCCCATGGCATTTGGCTCCTCGGGGATGTAAAACCCCTGTGCCTAATTCCGGGCCGTAAGAAGTGCCCGGGGGTGCCCACCGTGCAGGACATTGCAGAGCAGAGGAGTGGGGCAGGCTGAGCTGCAGCCAGCATTTCATCCCGGGGGGCTGCTGCGTCTTCACGGCTGCTTCAATCCAGGTTCAGAAGCGGGATGATCCAGCCAGCACTGGATGTGACATCCTGTGGGCAGGCAGAGCCCCTCTGAGATAAAGACAAGCATAATATGTACACAATTAATATTAGACAGTTCCAGCTTGCTTTTTCTGATTTGCAACAGTTTAGCATCACTGCCTTAAGAGTTATTCCTGATTCTCACGGCAGCTCGTGGGAGCAGATTCAGCCCACAGAAAGTGGGGTTTTCTTGGTTGCACATATTTTCCCTTGTGTTTCTGGCATAGCATCTTTGTTTTTGTTGTATTTTTAAATAAAACAAAATAGGTTATAGAAAACACAAGACTGTGATACCAGTTTCTGAGAAACCAGGCACTGATCTTACTTGCTTTCTGGATACCTTTGTAAATATTGTGTTTTATTGTTGAATGTTAGGATTGGCAGACAAAGGGCTGGTCTTTAAAATACTTTCTGACTTGGCTGGTAGTAAATATAAAGCATGAATATTGCTGGGCTATGGCAGGACTGTGGACTGCAGAGGACTAGAATTGCCCAGTCTCAGAAATGCGTAACACTGGCACGCTGTTGTTGTAGCCAATGCTTGGGTTTTGTTCAAAAAGAGAAGATTACAAAAAATGAATACAGATGAGAACATTTGCAGGAACATGAAAAGAAAAAGTGCTTTGTTTGATACAAATTCTAGCATTGCCATGTAACCTGAATATCACGATCTTGTGCAATTTCATGTTATCCTAATTAAACCAACCAGAAACAGAACTGAAGCATCCTGTGATCACAGCAGAAATTCCTGGGCTCCCACGTGTTGCCCGGTCTCTCCAGTCAAGCCCAGCAGCGGTGGCAGCCAGATTGCAGGGTGTTTTATTAAACAGGCCTGTGGTTTGAGAGAGCAGTGAATGTATTCCTGATTCCCAGAGGAGACCTGTGCTCCGTTTAACCTTGCGAGGGGCATCTCCCGTGGGCAGAGCTCCATCACGGGTCGGACACCTGCATCTCGATGGGCTCTGATCTGCCAGCCAGGTCTGGTTTTGTAAGAAACTTCTCTGTTAAGCAGTTTTCTGTGTGCTTTACTGTTGAGGCAGACTGTTAATGAAGCGCACGTTGTGGTACTGCAGCATCCCCACGGCCAGGGTGATGTCTAAGGAGCTCAGAAAATCAACGTCGATTCAGTGAAAGGTTTTGCTGCTTTGGTTATGGGGTGCCAGTTCCTCACAACTGCAAGGTTAGCTCTGGGGCAGAAAGTGTTATTTAACAGTATGACATACCTGCTTCCCAATGAGTTCAAGCAGACATGTTCAAGTGAAGTGAGCTCACCGCGCAAGCGAAGAAAGGTGAAAATCAGCTGGGATTCGGAGGGTGGAGTGAGGCAGTGCTGGCATGTGAGGCTTCTCTCACTTTCCAGGATGGATGGAGGCATTTCTACATGCACATCCTTAGGAGGTTACGTGATCTGACTGCCCCAGGGCTGCGGGATGCACAGCCCATCGCATGGCAAGTACGGCTGCTGGTGGTACCCTGGCCTGCCCGCCCTTCAGCAAGGCTAAGGAAGGGCTCAAACACTCAGGAGGGATTCAGAGCGCTGGTCTAAGGCTTGGCTTTCAAAGAGAAGATACTTGGTATTTTCTGGTCCTTTGGCGTGCTGCAAGTCAGCATTTAAGCAAGGAAGACAGAAACTGCAGCCTGCTCGGGAGGGTGCCAGCACTGATCAGCTGCAAACACGAGGAGCTGGGGAGTGCAGAGCCTGACGCGTGCAGGCACCAAACGCCAGCAGGAGTGGTGGGAGCTCCCTGCCCCCCAGCCTCTCCTGCCTCAGTTTCCCTTACCTTCTGTGCTGGCGGGAACATTGCTTTGGCTGGGGATGGCGAGAAGGTGGCAGAGTGGGTGTGGGGGAGCAGGAACCACTGTCTCGCTCTCAAGGGCCTCTCTAGCATCAAGGAGTCATTTCAAAGACAGGGGCTGTGTTGTCTTAATGCTGACGCTAGGCAAAAAGATCCATCATGTGTTTTGATTTCTGAAAGATGCTGTCCCTGGGAACAGTCGATATTTCAAACATTTGATCTCAGCAGCTCCGTTAAGCCCACACGGTTTGAAGTAGAGCAATTTGTGTAAAGGTTTTTCTCTGTTTCTTTATTTGCCTAATGACCGTTTTCAGCTGAGCTGTATGATTACTTTATCTTTTCCGCCTTTTTGCTTATGATTTTGTTGTTGTGGTGTTTTGTTTTTTTTTTTTTCTCTGAGTTCAATCTTTCCCTCTCTCATCTCCCAGGAAAAGCTATAACAGAACTAAGGTGAGGAAAAAAGGAAAATTTACTGGAACCAGTTCAGTGTAAGTTGCCAAGAATCTGAAAATTACCCTCTCAGACAGTCTGTATTAATTCCCCTGATGCAGCAATGATAAATCCTTATTAAAAAGGATAACATAGGGAGATTTTACTGCCTGTAGGAAGACTCCTGGTCACAAGGAATGAGGTAGCTTGTTACCCTCTTGTTCATGATGAGAGCAGTTTGCAAGTCTCTGTGTCCTTCCCAACCACGGTGCCGACCTAACCCCACTCTCCACTTCTTTATTCATGCACCGTGCTACCTTGCTGGGCTGGAGTGGGAAAACTACTCTGCTTGCTTCTTGTTACATGGGCTGAACCTGAGCCTTTGCCAGAGCAATGTAAAGCTGTAGCTATGGAAACTCCCTACCCTTTTTTATGATTTTTTTTTTTTTTTTTTAAAAAGCTAGAAGAGATATCTCTTTGGAGATCCCAGGTCGGGCGACTGGTTTGTGAGTGGTTGTTCAGCCCTGAGGGCTTATCCCAGGAGGTGCTGGGTGATCGGTCGCAGCCAGCACCCAGGGATTTACCCGGTGTCATGCAGGAGCTGGAGGCACAGACCCAGGTCACACTGCAGGGACTCTGTGTCACAAGGGCAGAGGAGCAGGGACTGATGAGGAACAAGCAGGTTGCATGGAGAGCTGGAGCCCAAGGCAACTCAGTGTGTGACAGCAGGGTGTTGAGGGGACAGTGTGGGGCTGCCAGAGGCACCACCAGCCATCAGCCACCCACCCACAGCTGGGGGATCAAGGACAGAGTCCCCCTCCTGCTCACAGCTGGATGGAGGGTGGTCCCTGGGGCTCTTGGGTTGATGCATTTAATGAGCACCAAGGAAATGGTTCTCCACCCCAGCCTGCTTGGGTCTGTGAATCCAGAGCAAATGAGAGTGAGTTGTGCAGCTCACAAAGACTTCAGTCTGCTGAGGATCTTCCCATCCCACGGAGCTGTGTCCATACCTCTTGGAAATGCAAAGCTCTTGGATTTACTGCTTACTGGAAATGTACACTGTACGTGTCCTTCCTCCCCCAGCCCCTGATCGATGGCTCATCTGTGTCTCAGGACATCTGCAGGGGCCACCAGGTCAGGCGTGGGGACTCGTCCTTCCCAATCACCAGCGTAAGGGGTGGAAGGAGAGCGGAGCTGATCCCAGCTCGCTGCTTACCCAGTGCCTGGCCTGGGGGAAGCCACCTTA